CAGGCAAGAATACTGGAGCGAGTTGCTGTTTCCTCCTCCAGGGAATCTTCCCAACCCAGGGATCAAACCCATGTCTTCTGCAAGTCTCCTGCATTGCAGGCGGATTCTTTACCACTAAGCCACCAGAGAAGCCCTTCATAATGGAAGTAGGAAACTGCAAAATGCAGTAGCTCCGGCGTTGAGCTCTTATTGGGTTGGCTTTTGAAAAACTAACACTACATTGGAAAAATCATGCAGTTAGAAGTTGAGACATGTGGGTTAATAGTTTTAGCTCTCAGAACGACTGTAACTCTGTGAGTATTGTCATGTTCCTGACCTCTCAATTTTCCCACGCACATGGTGGAGAAGGCAGACCCAGTGTTGGTTTAGGTCACTTATAAAGTCCTGTAATCCACAGAGATAACGCATACGTTAGTGAGTCCTTTGGGCCAATATATAGGATATTAGTTTAGATTTGTCTTTCAATAAATATCTTAATTTTATTGAATCTTAGTTGTTTTATTTTTTTATTTTATTTTTTTGCCTTTCACATGGGTTAAACATTCCTGACCTGCCTAAGTGTAGGACTTCTGTGAGGATTCAGTGAGATTCTGAGGATAGAAGTGTTTTGAATAATGTAACACTGTATGAATACAAGATATTATTTGTATTGAAAATTAATGGAAAGGTGTCAGGTTTCTTGCCACTCCTTTCTCCATCCCGCCCCCCCCCCCAAAAAAAAAAGCCTGGAGTTGGGTCCTTCTTGGGCTGTTTCCTGTAGTTTATGGACTTCTGGAACGCTAAGGGGTCAATGGGGGCTTTGTCTTGCCTTGGGTCAGTTTCCCACGGTTGGGATAAGGCTGCACACACTTTCTGCCTGACAACAACTTTATCAAACACACCCGCCACACAAACTGTGGTAATTTGGTAGACAAAAGTGTGGTTTTGAGTTACGCTAACCTCCGCTTTATTCAAAGAGCCCCCCCCCCTTGGAATCTGATATCTTCTCTGCAGACCAGCAGACGTGCACGTGTCCCCAGCTTTACAGATGCCTTCAAAACAGCCTGATAACGCCCCCCCACCCCCCCGCAAAAAAAATTTTGTGTGCCACATCTAACTCCATCTCTCGGTGGGGATATTTTTAATTCCTGCTTCTAACTCCTTGCAGTTCCTTTAAGGAAGTGTGACCTGAAAGGGTCAGACATTTGGCATCTACTTGGGGGAAAACTTTGAAAGAATTCCTGATGCTCCCCCTGGGGTAGGGCTGGCTTTCTCCAAGAGAACTAGCCCTTTGGAGTGTCTTTGCCACATAAGGGCTTGTGTGAGGCCTCAGGCACTAGTTGACGCTGTCTCTTCCCCACAACAGATGGTCAAGCCTTCAGTTTCAGCTAGGGATCCGCTGTCGAGAGGGCGGGCAGAAGATGCTGCCAGCGTGCCAAGTGACAGGGCAGCTTAGGGTAACTGGGATCTGGTTTGTGCCCAGCATAGCTTTTGTGCTAACAATGGGCTGGTGACAGGCGCCTTGCCCGGCTCATCGCCTAGGCAGAAGATCCCCTGCTCCCTTGATTCTGTTTCCCTGGCAGAGCTAATGTCCTGTTTGCCTGCCTTTCAAAATCCATTTTGGCACCAGATGGACCCCCTCATGGTGGCTAGCAGTTGTCTGACTTGAAGATGTCAGAGGGTGTGCTGACAGCTCCTTCCAACACAACCTGAATCTGGCTGTTGGGTCTGGCTCAAATGGCTTTAAACATACACAGGTGGTGAATATTATCTATCAGTCCTGGAGAACCAGGTGTGGGAGTTGGGTGCCCACTGGACCGAGAATGGCAGCGACGTCTCCCTCCACAATGTTCAGGTTGCCGGTGTGGAAACAATTGTACTAATAATTACTCTTATTTGTGCAGTTGCCATTGTGGTACAGTTGCTGTCAGTGGTACAATTAGTATTAATGTCAACAATGCACTACTTCTGTGATTATTAAAACTACTGTAGCACAATGGTTAAAAGCACAGACTCTGTGCAAATTTGAGTTGATCCACGTTTAATAACTTTTGGGCAACTTATTTACATTCTCTGAACCTCAGTTTCCTCATCAATAAAATGGGATTAATAGTAGAGGTTATTTAGGAGGCTTGAATGGGAAAATATATTTGAAGTTCTCAGCTTTCTGAACACAAAGTAAACACCTAATACATGAGAGAGATTATTATTATGACAGCCACCATCACTGTGTGTGCCGTGTTCCAGACACTGTGTATCATTGCGGTTAATTTTCATAGTCACCTTTTATAGTGGGGACTGGCATTATACCCAAATTCTAGGTAAGAAGTGTGATGCAGAGAAGTTCAGCTCTTTATCAAAAGTCACACAGCAGTATCTGTCAGAGCTTGATAGGAATCTCATTCAGAATATTTTTAAGGATCGTGGCTTTTCTATCATCCCAAGCCGACTCTTACTGTCAGTTTAGTGATAATCAGCCCCGTCCTGGGGTTTGTGTGGCTTTTAAATATTCTCTTCCAACCAGCTGTCCTTGAAAGAAGCAGCCAATTTTCGCACTTTGGGTGTCTTTGGATGTAAGCTTGAGCCCGGTCAAGATGGCAGACTCACTATCCCTGACCTCCACCACATCAAAGAGTTGCCAACAGTAAGGTGTGATCGCTAGGGCTCCCAGCACTTGCTATCTGAGAGTTCAGAGGGAGGGGACAGTGCAGAGGCACTTAGGATTGTGACTACTCCCTCCAACCCCTCCCCTGTCCCCCAGACTCCCCTGCTGAACGTGGTCAGGAGTCTGCTCGGGCCAACAGGCCAATGTTGCTCTTTGAGCTGGATTTTATTTTACCCAGCTGGGCTTAGTGTGCCGTGAGTCATTTATCTTGTTCAGAAAGGTTGATAAACTTTTGCCTCTCTGAAGAGAACCTGGAAGTAGGGATGAAGGATTGTTCAGAAGCCAGATATTATTGATGGACAGTTGAATGTTGCATGATGTCGAAAGAGCTGTTTCAGGAAGATGTTTACATTTTAAAGTGTGATTTTGGGGGTTGACAAAGTCATTGTCTCTCTTCAAAGAGTTATTCCCATGCCATACTTCCCTCTTGGCAGAGTCTAAGGGACTGGGGAAGAGAGAGATTCTGTTGGGACATCATCGGTTAGTCTGGTTTTCAGAAATTGGCTGAATTTGGTGCTTCCTTGTGCTGTGTTCTCATTATTGAGGTGCTATTTGGTTGATAGACTTTATACTCAGAGCTAAATCCAGACATCCCAGCTTGATGGTTCCTCACAAATTATGTGTATTGAAGTAGGAATTTTACTGCATTGTAGACTTGAAATGAGGAAAAGGTGATGACAGGAAAATTCCTATGAGAATTTAACTGAGCAACATTATAATGCATTGTAATATTTTGGGGAAGTGGGCCTGAAACCCACATCCCTAAAAGTAAAAACAATGAAGAACTTTCAGCAGCTTTTAAAATGCTTCTTTCCCCAAACATATTAATAGGTGGATGAAGAGGTTTAATTGCAAGTAACTAACAAGAATGCCCTAATTGGACACTTTTGATCATGCTGCCTTTCCATGATGAATTTCAGCAACTCCCACCTAAGAAATATAGAAATAACTCTCCTGATTTACGGAAAGGTAGAGGTAACTCATCTAATTTGTCACCCAGTGCAGGACACTTTTAAAAGTTAAAGTGGGTACTATTCATCTTGTTGTTGTTGCTCAGTAGCTCAGACTCTTTTGTGACGCCATGAACTGCAGCACTTCAGACTTCCCTGTCCTTCACTACCTCCCAGAGTTTGCTCAAACTCATGTGCAGTGAGTCAGTGATGCCATCCAGCCATCTCATCCTCTGTCGTCCCCTTCTCCTTCTGCCTTCAATCTTCCCCAGCATCAGGGTCTTTTCCAGTGAGTTGGCTCTTCACATCAGGTGGCCAAAGTATTTGAGCTTCAGCTTCAGCATCTGTCCTTCCAATGAGTATTCAGGGTTGATTTCCTTTAAGATTGACTGGTTTGAACTATTCACACTTACAGTAATATAGCTGGTGTAAACTAGTATAGTTCCGGGCAAATTGAGACCTTTGGTCACCCTAGCCAGTAAAACCCATGGATCTCATTATAGAATCAATTCAGAGATCAAGGTGCCTGTGAAGCGGGACAGTCCTTCTTCCATCACAAATAGCTTTTGTCTATAGCTGGCATGTAAGGAAAACATATGGGATATGTTCAAGAAATCAATGGACTTTAGTCAGTATGTGAATCTTCTCATAAGCACTCCTAGTCAGAATATTTTACTTGGGCTTCCCTGGTGGCTCAAAGGGTAAAGAGTCTGCCTGTAATGTATGAGATGCAGGTTTGATCCCTGGGTCAGGAAGATCCCCTGGAGACGGAAATGGTAACCCACTCCAGTATTCTTGCCTGGAGAATCCTCATGGACAGAGGAGCCTGGTGGGCTACAGTCCATGGGGTCACAAAGAGTTGGACACGACCAAGCAACTTCACTTTCACTTTCATGTTCAAGAAATCAATAGTTTAGTCAGTATGTGAATCTTCTCATAAGCACGTCTAATCAGAATGTTTTACTTGGAGATGCTCAGATAAAGTGTTTACCATGTCCTTATATTCATCCAGCATGTATTTTGCTGGTTCATCATCTGTGAATTTATAGGGCTTAAATTACATGTTGTTGTTGGGGACCATGAGTAATTCTCAGGCAATTATCTCCAACTGGAACCTGCCTTAAATTATAGGGAAGACTTACCCTCTCTTTGAGTGAAAATACTTCCTTGGGGGCTTAATTCTTCTGTGAGATCTGTTGGCATCATGGAGAGCATTCTCTTCATATAGAATGTCTAACTTGGGTGTGAAACAAAGACTAAAGCTTTCCACAAAATACTGGCTCTAACATCATTCTGAATGTTTCAGAAAATGTATTCAGAGAATAGAATGCACAACCCAGAAGTGACTCCCCCCGCCCTTCTGTGGAGGACTGAAATGCTAACCATGGTAATTTGTTTCTTCACAGGTTCTTCTTGAAATTTTTCCTCAAATGTAACCAAAATTGCCTAAAGAATGCGGGAAACCCACGTGACATGCGGAGATTCCAGGTGGGTCTGTCTTGTCCTTCTTATACCTGAATAATGACATGAGTATCAGGAGAGGGTAAAAGAAGTCTTAGGTGGAGAAGATCCAGAGTATCATTATATCATTGTTTTCCCAGAGGCGACAAGCAGGTGAGTTTGGGTCCCTAGGTGTCTTTGCTCTAGAAGTTGTTGTTTTAATTAGAGAAGGATCAGGACTGGGCCAGCTGCGTTCAGTGATTGAGGCAGTGGCACCCTTTGAGGCTTGTCTGGCTTCCCGAATGGACTCATAGGCTTAAACCAGGGGTCCCTAACCTCCAGGATCTAATGCCGGATGATCTGAGTGGAGCTGATACAATAATAATAGAAATAAAGTGCACAATAAATGTAATGTGTTTGAATCATCCTGAAACCACCCCCCGCTCACCCTGTCCATGGAAAATTTGTCTTCCATGAAGCTGGCACCTGGTGCCAAAAATGTTGGGGACCACTAGCTTAAACCACTGCAGGTTAAGTGAAGCACATAGAGATGATGAAGTCTTTGCCTAAAGTTCTACAGGTAGAAAACTGGTCAATAGGAGCTTTGTGCTGTTTTGGAATTACATCACTTTCCTCCTTCCTTTCACTTGTTTTCCTTTTCCAGTCTTGGAGATTATCAGTAATTATCTTATTAAAAGTGGATCTCTGAAGAAGCAGGGTGTAGGGCAATGTGGGTTACATTCCGTCTGTTTGAGAAATGTCCTGGTACAGCCCATGTAAATGTTTTCAAGCATCAGTCAGATCCGCCACCATTTAAAGCTTTAGTGGTAAGTTAACCTCATATAATTATACATTTGCTAAAGGAAAAATATGTGAAAATACATTTGTTAACTTCCAAAACACAGAATGGTGGTTGGGCTTTAGGAAAGGTTGCTAAATTCTAGGTACGTGCTTCTCAAACTCTAAAGTGCCGAGAATCCTCTGGGGATCTTGTTAAACTGCTAATTGAGGTCTGTGGTGGGCCTGAAATTCTGCCTTTCTAACAAGCTCCCAAGTGATGGGCAAAGCCATGGACCACACTTGGAGTAGCCAGGTTCTAGACCCTTATGTTGCTCTCCATCTAATTTTATGACTAACTCATTTGGTCAATGTTAGGTTCTTCACCAGCGTAATGATGCGTCCATCTATGGATGCCCATGTGGTTTGTCAGTGAAAATATCTTGGAGTTTAAGATGTGTTCTTAGGTGGAGTTAGTCTGCTTTAAGTGTAGATTGAAATATAGGATCTCTGAGGATCTGGACAAATTTTCTCTGCACATTCTCTGATGGGAGAAAGGGAAGTGATGATTCTGGGCATTAATTTTTGGATGTCAAGATCTCTTAGTCTCCAAGGTGATTATTTTTTTAATAGGTGAGACTTAATAGTCTCATGAAAGAAAAAATTCAGTAGAAAGAAGACCCTTGCTCCTGAGATTCTGAAGCAGTTCTGGAAATCATTTGGCCTTGACACCTTTTGTCCTGACAGATGAATGGGAGAACCCCTGGACGCCTAGTTTCCTGGAAAATGTCTGTCTTGGGGAGCTTCTGACCAAGTGGGCAGACTTGGGTGCTCTCATTCCTACCTAGGACATTTTTGTGTTGAGTTGGAGTATCTTTGCTGGTGCAGCATGTGATGGTGTTAAATATGTGCTGCTAAGTGTCTTAAAATGTGAGAATGAGTTTCATGTAAACTGTGTTGTCACTTACCTTGGCCTTGAAATGGGCCATGTATCTCCTTTGACCAAGCTTGGGTTGGGAAAAAGACATGTCCAGACATGAACCAATTCATGACATATAATAAATGTGTCTAGACATGTGTGATGCTTTATGAATACTAGGTCGACTTGGCTGTGCTTCACAGGGCGGCAGAGTTAGAGATGGTCTTCAGTGATGTTGGGAATCTAAAAGAGAGTGTGTGTGTAAGATTTCAGGGGCCTTATTTTCCCTCGCAGGGCCTGCTAGTGAAATGTCTGAAAGCTTTGAATTATAGGAATGTAGCTCTTGGATGAGATGAGAACCAACTCAGTCTGTTATTTTTGAGAGTGTCTAGAAAGCTTTATTTTTGCAGACAAAGTAGTTATTCTTTGTTGGGTAGAAGGGCTACTGAGACAAGGAGGCATGAGTTAGATTTCCACAAAACCTCAATTTCCTCTACTGTAAAATGGAGTAAAAATGATGATTCTTCTTAGTTCACAAAGGACAGTACTTTGAAAGCATAACCAATTTTCAAAAGATAAAATATAAATGTACCATTTTGAAGAAAATATTTGCTGTAAACTAAAGCTGGGCCAGTAGTTGAGCACAGAGTTTCTCAGCCTGGGCAGAAATGACACTTGAGACTGAATAAGCCTTTGTTGGGAGGGAGGTGGATTTGTTCGGTGTTTCAAAGGATATTTAGCCAGAATCACTGGCCTTTACCCACCAGATACCAGTAGAGAAACCATCCTCCTCCCCTCGCAGTCATGAGAGACACCAGAATGTCTCCAGACATTGACAAGTGTCTCCAGACATTGACAAATGTCCCCTATGGGAAAGGGGATGCAGAATTGTCCCTGGTTGGGAATCACTGGTTTAGTCCTATACCTGATGACCTCTGACATATTCTCCTGCTGACAGTGCTACTGTCCCAAAGAGTGCACCCTTTGATTACACTTGAAAGTTGCCCAACACAAGGTCCAGCCTTGACAATGCTCTTTCTCAGTATTCTCCAACTGATCCTAAAGTAGGTGGACCTTTCCCAGTAGGGGCTGCTACCTTGACCACTACAGAGTCAGTTTTGTGGCAAAGAAGAGCTCTATCAGCAATGATGAAGTCCTTATTGGAGCTCAAATTTAATCCAGTTTATTCCTATCACCTCCTTACTGGGAGAGGAAAGAGGGAGTCTGTGGCAGAATGAGCACTGACATTTTGTTTTGTATTTGTGTACATTTGTGTATTTCATAATCATCACTTTTACACAGTTAGCACATGGTCTTATACGTGATATATCTAGCAACTGCAACTCAATGAGCCCTAAAGACCATTGTCAGCCTCATTTTTTGTGTGGGCCTCTGCCTCAAGCTTGCTTTTCTTCCTGTGTTCCTTGTCTTGGTTCATTTCTAACTGTATTAAGTGCTAGGGAGATGACCATTTATATTTGGGTCTGCATTCATATTTATATGTATAAATATATGAGTCCATATATGCATCTTGATATACATCTATGGACATTGTCTGTAATGATGATCATGATGAAGCTAACAGTTATGGTGTACTTATTATGTGAGCAGTTTTGTGCTAAGTATTTTATATGAGTTACCATGTTTAGCTTCACAACACATCCAAATAGGAATGAGGGTCATGCAAATAGGAATTACTTCCACTTTACAAATGAGGTATGTGAAGTTTAGGAAAGTTAAGCAGTTTGCCTAAAGTCACACATCTGCTAAGTCCTGAGGCAGTGATTCAACCCAGTCGATCTGACCCAGATGTTCTCTAATGTGGTGCAACAGTAAAGAACTTGTCCACAGCCTTTAGGCAGATATGTAGTGAGGCAGTAAGGAGGTCTCTCTACATCTGAGAGCCCAGTGGGTACCTGTGAATAGTGTTAGAATCCCAGGGAAGTCAAGGAACAGTGTTCAAAAGGGTGTTTGCCCTGAATAGAACTTAAGGAGGCCGGCTGCCTGAAGAACACTGGGATTCCAATATATCTAGTCAAGCAGAATGTGGAGTTGTGCAGAAGGGGAGGAACTTGAGCACTGTTTCTGATTATAGCCACGGTACTGGTCAGTGTTTACTCATGAACTTTAGAGAAAGAGGCTATTGCTCCGAAGACTGCCTGAGCTTCACCTAATTGGTAGAGGTTTTGCCCAGTTCTCCAGGGCAAGAAAGACCCTTCAACAAATGAAGCCTGAATCCAGGCGCCCCTGACGGCTCAGAGCACTCATTTGGAAATCATATTGACGTTCCCAGCTCTTAGGACTAAACCAAAAGGGGGAGGATGAGTCTTCTGTGCAGCTGTGCTTGTTGGCAGAGATGAGTCCTAGAAGCACTGGTGGAAGGTTTCCCATGAGCAAACATATGATTTTCCTCATAGTACGCTAATTGGAAAGCTGGTTTCAAATATTTTGATGTCAGTGTTGCCTCTGAGGGGAGTGAGAGAGATGTTGGCATGAGAAGATTCCCTTCTCCTCCTTACATCTCAGTGTGGCTTTCCCAGTGACACTGAAATCCCAAGGCCCAGAGACGTCTGAGTGAAGGCACGCCCTCCTGCCTGCCCAGTGGGCCTCCCTTTACCTGTTAGGGATGCGACTTTCTATCTTGTCCCACTCCCCAGGCCAGCTGATCTGCATGCAGCCAGGCCAGAGTGCATCTCTTCTGAACAGCAAGCAGAAGCCTATGTAGGTGACTGAGGAGGACATAGGAAAGGTTGTTGATCTCTTGACATGTAAAGACATTCTGTCAAGCAAACTCAGCCTCACAGCAGCTGAGCTTCTGGTGTGTAAACAGAGGCTGCTTAATTACACAGGTCATGTCAATTAGCGTGACCTTAGCGTTTTTGAGAAATTCATCACTTTCTGCAGAGCTTGGCTGTATTCATAGTTTCAGGCAGTATGGAATAAGCCTTGTAGAGAATTTGGTACAATCTTTTTATTTTTAAGCTTATAATTGATGTTTTCTTTTGAAATCCCCAGGCTGTGGTTAGGGTAACAAACTTGCTTAAATACAACAGTGGATACAGGCTTCATTCAGTTTTGTGGGTGTGGGGACGATGGGAGAAAGAGAGCAGGAGGGAAGGCGGTGGATAGAGACAGCTCTCTCTCCTGACGGGGAGAATTTCCCTGTGACTAAATGAGCCTGTTTCTTCATCTTGACACTAAAAAGATGCTAATGTCAAAGGACTGTGTTAAAACCATGTCATGGGTCTGGTTTTTAACTGACGGGAGCTAGACAATTCAAGCTTAAGATTTAAATCCTTATCAATAGCTTCCCTTGTTGGGGCTGGCAGAGCGGGGAGGGGAGGGGAGGGAC